TCAATGAGCTTGTTCTATAGTTTCCACACTCTGTTGGGTCACCTTTCTTTGGAATGGGAACAAATATAGATCTCTTCCAGTCAGTTGACCAGGTGTTTGTTCTCCAGATTTCTTGGCACAACTTGGTGAGCACGTCCAGGGCAGCATCTGTTAGCTGAAATATGTCAATTGTATACCATCTATTCCTGGGGCCTTGTTTTTTGCTATTTCCTTCAAAGGAGCCTGAACTTCTTCCTTCATCACCATAGGCTCTTGCTCATATGTTGTTTCATGAAATTCTTCTATGTCTGCCAATTCTTTCTGATACAGTGACTCAGTATGTTCTTTCCATCATCTTTTAATACTTCCTGGATCATTTAATATTCTGCCTAAAGCATCCTTGATTATAGCAACTCAAGGTTTGAATTTGTTCTTACATGCAATCCATTCATAAGCTCCAACCTGGGAAAAACCCTAAATGTCCCCCAACTGGGAAATGTGATACACACACATGAACATTATTCTGCAATGTTTTTGTTGTGAAGGAAAGTAGTAGATAAATCATAGTGACCCTATGAATGAAAGACTTGAACACGAACTTTCATCATTTCTCCAACTTCATAGAGTTTTCAGAGGCAAGCTATTTCAGAAGTGGATGCCACTCCTGCTTCAAAATTCTGCAACAAAAGTAGTAAAGAAGTAATACATGCAATAAATCAATACCAAAATTATTATGTTCAGCAAAAGAAGCCAAACACAAAAGGACACACAGTGTATGATTCTAAGCATATGAAATATTCAGAAAAGACTATCTACGGCTGAGGGTTTGACTTAGAATTAACTGTGAAAAAGCATAATAGGGAGATAAAAATGCCCTACAACTAAATTGTGATTATGGTTCTGTAAGTCTGTAACTACACTAAGAGCCACTGCGTTTGTACAGTTAAAACAGGGAAATTTATGTGATACAAGGAGCTCTGGTGACCTAGATGATAGAGAATTGTGTCACTAATCTAATAGTAGCATCTTTCTGGCAATTCAAATTACCAGGTGCTCTGTGAGAGAAACAGGGCACTCTCCTCCCATACAATTTACAGTGTCTGAAAACCCAGCTGGAGGATCAGCTATGAGTTGATTCCAACTTAATGACAACGAGTGAATGAACTGTAAACTCTGTATTAGTTACTTTACATTGTTGATACTGGGTTGAGTTGAATATGACTCATATCAACCCTATAAACAACAGACAAAGAACTGTGCCCTATCCAGTTCCAGCCTCATGATCTCTGACACACTTGAGTCCATTGCTGCAGACACTGTGTCAATCCATCTCAATGGAGGTGTGTGTGTGTGTGTGTGTCTTCCTCTTTTTTGTTGACCTTCCACCTTTCCAAATACGATGTCCCTTCCCAAAGAATAACCTCTTCTAGCAACATGGCCAAAGTATGAGAGATGAAGCTTTGCTATCTTTGCCCCCAAGAACATTCTATCTGCTCTTTTTCCTACACATGTCGATTTGTTCTTTTGGTGATATTCAGTACTCTTACCCAACACGACAGCTCAAAGGCATTAATGCTTGTTCTGTCATCTGTATTTATAGCCCGGCTCTCAGATACACATTGAAAGTGGCCTGACTCAGGCCCACCTCAGTCTTCAAACTGACATCATGGCTCTTGAGTATTTCAGAGAAATACTTGGCAGAACTACCCAATGCAATATATCTCCTGACTGCTGCTAGCAAGGGTGCTGACTGTTGATGCAAGCAAGATGAAATCAATGTCAACTTCAACTATTTCTTCACTGTTCATGATGTTGCCTATTGGCCTAGAAGTGAGGACCTTTATTTTCTTGATGTCGAGATGTAATCCATATTGAAGGCTGTGATTCTCGATCTTGTGCAGTAAGCATTTCGAATATTCGCTTTCAGCAAGGAAGGTTGTGTTATCTGCATAACCAAGGTTGTTGATGAATCTTCTTCCAACCCTGGCACCACTTTCCTCTATTTTATAGAGTCTACCTTCACAAATTATTTGCTCAGTATCCAGGCTGAATAGGTATGGAGATTAAAAAAATATTACGCTAACGCACATCCTTTCTGATTTTAAACCATGTATTATTCCCTTGCTCCATTCAGAAAACAGTTTCCTTGTCTAGGTACAGATTTAATATGAGCACAATTAAGTTTTCTGAGATTTCCATTCTTCTGAATGTTAGCCATAGTTTGTTATAATCCACACAGGCAAATGGTTGCACAGTCAATAATCACAGATATTTTTCTGGTATTTTCTGCTTTCAGCCAGGATCTATCTGATATTAGCAATGATATCCCTGTTGCCAAGGCCTTTTCTAAATCCTGCTTGAACTTCTGGCAGTTCCCTGTTAATGTACTGATCTAGCTGTTTTGGATGATCTTCAGCAATATCTTCAGCTTGTGATATTAATGATATTGTTTGATACCTTCCACATTTTGTTGGATCACCTTTCTTTGGAAGAGGAATAAATATGGATCTTTTCCAATCAGTTGTCTTCCAAATTTCCTGGCAAAGACCAGTGAGCATGTCCAGTGCTGCCTATGTTAATTGAACCATGTCATTTGGCATCCTACCAATCCTGAGGCCTTATATTTTATGAATGCTTTCTTCTATTATTACTATTGGCTCTTGTTTATATGGTAATTCCTGAAATTTTTCAGCATCACCCAATTCTTTTTGGTACAGTGGCTCTGTGTATTCCTTCCGTCTTACTTTGATGCTTTACCTAGGTTGTTATCATTAGTGTAATAACCTTGGAAGTTTGGTAATTTTTATTTTATTTTACTGATAAGGCAGTGAGACTAACATTTTTGCACATTTAGCAAACAAATGCAAAGTTAAAACCCGAAAGTATGTGCTTTGACTATCCAGTAGTGCTCTCTCTCACATGTGTAATGGCTTGGGCACTTCTAAAGGTAGGTGACACCGAAGTCCGAGTCTAGGTTCCCTTCTAGCCTCAGTCTCACACAACCCAGTGCTGTGCAGAGCACATAAGTAGAACAAAATTTTCTACCTTTCTAGGGATCACCATGAAACATAGTAAAACGTGAATAAGTAAGAACTTAAGGCAGAAACATCAGTGCAGAATGCGAGTATTTTCCACCAATGAATGATAAAAAAATGGTAGCACTGTACCCTGAAGGGCAGAAAATTTGCCAGACCTGGAAAAACATGGAAGTCCTGGAAGTTCCAGTTCTTACAAGTTTCACTGTAGGGAAACAGCATGTGATTAACCATGAAGTACAAGTTGGTAAGTCATTACCACAGGAGTCCAGAGTTGAGATTTTATTTGAGAATGAACTGTGCTCTTGAACCCTAGTCAACCCTCCTTCCCCATTCTGGTTTTCCCTGTGGTGGTCTGGAGGGTGAACCTTTGCAAACTCAGTGCTGTAGGGAGCTCTGGTCATGTAGTCTGTAGGGAGTTATGCTGCTAAACCAAAGGCAGTGTCTATCTGGTGGTTCAAATCCACCCGGGGTTGTTCAAGAGAAAGACAGGCAATCTCCTCTCTTCCTGCCATTTACTGCACCCAAAAAGCCACTGGAGGGTCAGCTATCAGTCGGTTTCAACTTGATGGCAATGAATGAGTGAATGAATGACTTAAACTTGTCACCTAACTGCAAAACTTGCCATTTTGTTAACATTTACTTTTTTCTGCTATATATAAAACTGTCCTGCAGCTAAGGATGTCTTTTGCCTACCATCACGTCAGCCATTGGAATGGGACAGCGAATGTCTTCCAAAGCTTACCACACACTTTCACTGACCCATATAAAATCAAAGCCCAACGAGGTCACAACAGGCATCTGACCCACTCCCATCAGCGTACAGATGGGATAACGAGGGCCTGAAGACAGTGGAGACAATGGGGATGATGCGAGGCTGCCCAAGCACAAGCTGGTGCATCCATCTCCTTAGGTGGTCTGTTTAATGTGATCACCATGCACACATACACTTTCTTCTAAGCTTTTGTGTCCCAATTTCTCCCAAGAGTCTTCTATTTAGTGAAAAGACTCAGTGAGAAAAAGCCACACTGCTTTCAAATACAGTTGAATGCTAATTACAAGTTACTCCACCTGAAAAATCAAAGAGAAAGCAAGCTTAATCCTCCTCTCCACATCTTCAGCACTATAAGAAAATAAAATTCTTTGAAAGTTGCAAACCAACAGAACAGGTCTGTAGACCACGGTTAAGAGGTAGGCTGGCACCGAGGGAATGGCGACAGGTGTCTCCTCTCTTTACCTTGGTAACTGCTACCTTGGCGCCCTTGTTGATGAGCTGAACCACATTCTCTGCTTGGCCTTTGTACGCAGCTATGAGAAGGCGTTCTGAAAGCGCAGCGACCGCATCCTGCTGGCTCATGAATTAGGAGAGAAAGAGGTTTTCAGGAATGTAGTAGACAAGTTCCTTCAGCTCAATGCGTAGCCACTGGCCCGAGGTGGCCCTCGCGGGTAAAGATGCTCCCAGGCATTGGAAGGTGTCTCTGTCACTATGCCATCTTCAGAACCTATGGGTTACAAAACAAAGCTGCCATCAGTGCTACTCAACATACAGGGCAGGCCACCCCTCTGTCACTCTGTGACTGCTCACTGCAGGGAGGGAAGCTGAGGGCCCAGGACCATGAGGAAAGTATACTCAGCATAGCGAAGCCTGAGAGGAGTTTTCAAGAGGAAAGCAGGACAGAATATATAGACTGCATGTGATTAACCAGGAAAATGTGAGCTGGCCAACCTTTGCCACAAGAATTCCAATACCAACCACCTTCTTCTTTTCCATCCTCAGGGATATACCCAAGGATAACAGGCAGAACATCAAAATTTGTTCCAGATTTCTGTCCTATTTAGCAGAGCCCTGATACAAGCCTCTAAAACTTCCAGATATGTAGACCCACCTTCTTTTTGGCTTTGTTTTGTGGACCCACCATGGATAGAATGGTAACTCCCGGGTGGGTCGGATGCCTCTGCTTCATACTTCACAGAAACACCAAGGAGTAGTTCTGTACTTGGGGGACGTTTTCACATCATTTACTGCAGTTTCTTCTTTGATCTTTTCTTACTGTAAATAATACATTTCCCTGAGTTCCAGACCAAAAGAAGAGCTTGGCACAGGCCTGGGTCATCTTCTAATTATAAATATTGCCAAACTGTTGTCCACAATTACTGCCTTAGGGACAACATGGGTGCTAGAAACAGAATGTATGCTGCCAATTTGGAAAGTAGAGTTCTAAGTTCCTCACTTAGTATGAGAGAAGTAAGTGGGCACCTGAAATTCACTAACAACAGTGCTTGAACATATATTAGTTGTAAATGTAAACTCTTGACAAAATGAATAGGATTTTAAAGTCTAGGATTCATTCCAGGACCCTCTGGTAACCAACAGATCAAACCAAAGCACCTGGTTACTGATGCAAAGGTAAAAGTTCTTCAGGCAGAAGAAGAAATGCTTCTAAGTCCCTGATGTTGCTGTTGTGATATATAACAGAGTTCAAACAGACTCACAGCTGACCCTCCAGCAGGCTTTCAGAAGCAATAAATCACACTGGAGGAGACTGCCCATCTCTCTCCCACAGAGCAGCTGGTACATTCAAACTGTGTGTCTTTGGGTTGGCAGTGCAAATCCTCACCATTAAGGCACCAGAGCTCCCTTCTAAGTCCCTTGTTGTTGCTGTTAGGTGTCACGGAGTCGAGTATGACTCAGTTCACAAAGATACTTCAGAAGAAAGGTGTAAAGACTAACTTCTAAAAAGACAGTCATGAAAACAAAACCCAAAAAAACCTTATGGAACACAATTCTACTCTGAGACACATGGAATTGCCATGAATTCGTCCTGACTTTTAAAATCCACTCTTTTTAGGAGAGCAAAGTATTAAGAGCTTCTGTATATAGAATGGCTGGAGGATTCAAACCGCCGATCTTCTGGTTAGCAGCCAAGTACTTAATCACTGTGCCAACAGGGCTGGTTTTAAAATATTAAAAATACCAAGATATGCAAATGAAAAGAAAATGATGTGCCAAAGGGCCACTTTTTTTTCCATCCTAGAACCTACTGCACATTCTAATTTTGAAAGTATGGAAGGTGCAGAAATCTTTTACAATGGCTATTAGTCAAACTTGGTGATTCTTTTGATTTTTAAAGATGGAGTACAACGCAGCACGCAGGAGGAATGATTTTGTAAATCACTACCTATCTTGGGCGGGACTGGAAAGCATTATGTTAAGTGAACTCACTCAGTCCCAGAAGTACAAATACAGTGTAAGACCATTATTGTAGAATGAGTATGACGATACTAGGGCAGGGAGGGGGTAACAGAAAGGTGAGGATGGGGAGTGAGGCGTTTCACAGGGTGGCAAAATATGATGGGTGGAGGTGAGAGTGAGGGAAATGAGAATGATCCGGTTTGAAAAGCAATGTATACAAACTTTGTAAATAAACTAGTATAAAATAAAAAATTTTAAAAAGAAGGGAACCAGACATTGCAGGGCTGTGAAAAGTCTGGACTAGATCTCAATCTGACTTCCATTCCCCATTAGTAAACAAAGAGAAGAACAGCTCTATTCCAGGACTACGGTGAGAATGAAAAGTGGCATCTCACAATAGAAGGTACCCTGATAATGCAAAGGACAAGCACTCAGCAACTGTCTTGGGTCGAACAGTGTGCCCTAAAATAGTGCCAAGTTGGCTGGCCACAATTCTCAGTGACTTCATATGATATGACCATCCCCCATAATGTGGTCTAACGTGATCAATCAGTTCTAAGATTTCGAGTGTGGGATGCACAGACAGCTTCAAACTAGTGGAAGGGGAAATTTCCTGTGAGATAGCCTGAATTACTTTTCTCTTACAAGAGGTAAAAGGAAAGAGAAGTAAAAAAAGAAAGAAGGGTACGTATATCATCAAGAAAGAAGATCTAAAAGAAAAATTCATCCTCTGAATTCCTGTGCTTAAAACCTCCTAAAACCAAGGGAATGCTGATTCCAAGACACACGTGGATCTCCAAGACCCACAGATGCTGGACAGAGATAAGGCCTTTCCTTCAGAGTCAACTAAGATAACACTCTGAATTCAGACTCCCAGGCTCCTGAACTGAGACAATAAATTTCTATTTGTTAAAGTTATCCATGCATGGTATTTCTGTTATAGTAGCACTAGACAACTTAGCTGCAAACTGAAAGGCTGTCAGTTAAAGTCCACCAGTTGCTTCACAAAAAAGATCTGGCAATCTGATCATGTGAAGATTTGCCTCAGAAATGCTACTCAATGGCACACTACAATATCTCATTTTATGAAAGCCTTAGTCAGATGTGAATATTGTTAACTTTAGGAAGTTCATTCTTATTCTCTTAACTTGTCCTTGAATAGCCCAAGAATGCTCCAGAAATATATGCTGAATGAATGGAGACAGTGAAAGAATAAGGTTGTGACTCAGAAGAAATAGAGCTGGAATTTCCCATTGCCAAAGTGAGTGTGGTTTGAGATTTATGTTTCTGACTGTCAGACCATTTGGAAGCAGTTTATCTTTGTAAGGACAGGTGAAGCTGCCTCTTTTCACTCAAGTAATCTGTGGTCCATTTGAAGTCATTACACTGAGCTTCTGAGCTTTTGGTCAAATACTGCAAAATCACTCCAGGCCCAAATGGCAGCAAAATATAGAGTATAAACCACATCTTTCTAAAAAAATCTCTTTCTCAGCACCAAATTTTTCCCCTTCCTCTAACCATTTGTTATTTCTGTGCATTTAACCTCACTCCTCTCCATCCTTTATCCCCCTTTCCAGTATCATTCCTGCAATGAACATTGGAGTATTTGAAGTGTTATGGTCCAAGTCATACAAATATTATTATAACACAGCTTAGGCCCTGGGGGAGGTGGTAAAGACATCTTTGCTGCAACCTCAGTACAGTCTAACAGCTGAGGTTGTGAGCTGTTGTAATAAATGCAAGGCTCAAGCAGGCCTGATGCCCACTTTACTGCGACACTTCTGTCCTTGTCATATATTCAATCTCTGATATTTAAGATTAAGCCCCCAGGTACATGTCTTGTCATATTTGCAATCAACTGAGATACTCTTATTTAAATAATTAATATTGTTAAGTAGTCCCTTACTAAAGTAAGTCCAGCACCTACCTAATATTCTTATTTTATTTTTTTCTTTTTGAGATAGAAAAATATCATAATTCAGAGAAAATGTTACTGAGGCAGAAATTCTGAATTCTATCTTCAGCTTCGTTAGGACTGCTTGCCACTCTCTACCCTTGCCACCTATCCGTATAGTTTGTGCGCAGAGACCACAAGAGGTCTCCAGAGTAGGGGGGCTCAAATGAGATTTTAGCCACTACCCATTCAAGAGTTGCACAGAAAAAGGACTGAAAATCAGGAACAGAACGTCAGTTTTCTAATTCCTGTTGCCAACTCTATCACCGTCAGTGAAACCTGGTTACAGTCTCATTGCTAGCACCTCCAGAATTTGCTTTTTTGCAGCTAGTGGGTGGGAAGGGATCAAAGTGGCTGGGGCTTTTTTTCTGTTTCCTCTGCACCTTCTTGTAGATGGTGCAGTCCCAGCAAAGACATCTCTAAGCCAGCCTTCTGTCCACCTTTCAAGTCCATGGTCCTAAACCCTCAGTATCCTTCCCTCCCATTTAGAACAATGTTCTCTTATTCTCATGTAGTAAAGAAATATTCCACTTTTCACCTGATATCTCTGAATTTGACAAATTAGTACAGGTGGTGGTGGGAGGCAGTAAAGTGGTTAGAAAGACTGGGAGGTTCCTGACAATACGTGGTGAAGGGAGGGAAATAGAGGTGACCAATCCATAACGAACCAGTTAAAGTTCACTGCCAACCTGTTGAGTACCCTGGCTGTAGCAGCCCTATTCCCTCATTAAATCTGAGACTTCTTTTCCAAGATCTGCTTTCATTCACGACACTTCCTGTTGCTGGCAGCGGAGAATTTAGCTGGCCCCAGGTCCATCAATCATACCCCTCTCTTAGTCATGATGCTCACTTTTTCATGTTCTGGGGGAAACCTTAAATGCAAACATATTGCTGCCAGCTCTTCAGACAAGAAAGAAAGAAACGCATGCAATAAACACCCTGGATCTAGAAAGCAATCTTGCTTCTCTAAGAGATTTCCCTCCCACCTCTCAACCCACAGCCCCCTTCTCATTGTCCTCCAATAGACCAGTTCCTACATCTCACATCACAAATTCCAGAGGTTTACTTAGCTGCTTGGCATGTGATATGATCTGTTATCGACCCTTTGCTGTAAAAAGACAAGATTTGCTTTTGCTGGTTTCTTGGGGATTTACAAGCAAGTCTCCCGGTATCAAAATCGCAAAGCTATTATATTCAGATTCCTGACAGATAAAATATTCTACAAGCAGAAGTCTCAACCATACATGAAGCACAACCCAAGCAGAGCCCCCCCGCCCCCAGGGACTGGCGGTTAAGGGAGCTCCAGCAGTTGGAACAGTTTGTTTTGTGCCGACTGCTCCATGCCCTGTGCTGAG